AAAATATTTTAAAATATAGCTAATAATATAGACAATATAAAATAATTATAAACATAAAGTTAAAGAATTTAAAAAAAAATTGAGTAATTATTTAGTTTTTGAGTGGGCCTAGCCTTCACTTATGRCAAATTATTTCTGTTTATGAAATTTAGTTTAAGATACAAATTTGTGAAGTTGCACAGGTTACTAAAACCTTGATTGAAACTTCGACATCTGAATCCTAAACTGGGAATCTCTTGTATAATCAACTATGTGTAAAGGTATTATCAGAGCCCCCCTTTCCTAAGGAAATACTAGCTATGCCATTATTACAAATTACAATTATTAATTATTTTTAACTATAGTATCTAGTACCTATTTAGTAAATAATTTCAATTTAGTTGTCAAAAATACCTTAGCTGAACCTTATCTTAATCTTAACTTTTCCTTATCTTAAAAAAATATGTATTCATAATTTATTAACTTAAAAAAAATAATACCTATTTAAGAGGACACAACATCCCTATTAGTTGTCTCAGTCTTACAAATGTATAACATACCAAATTTATGCTCAACAGTTCAAGTTTTATTCTTTTAGCTTAATTTTTAGAGTGAATAGACCTATTATGAAACTTAGTGGTAAAAACATTATCTGTGTTTTGTTAGAAGTTTTTTTTATGATAATTCAGTTTTTAAGTGAGTGAGTTATGAGCATTTATTTATTTATTTTAAATTATTTTATAATTTATTATACGCGCATAACTCACTTTAAAACTGAATTATCATAAAAAACTTCCAACAAAACACAGATAATGTTTTTAGTATCAAGTTTCTTAATAGGTCTATTCACTCTAATGTTTAAGCTAACGGAGTAAAATGTAAACTGCTGAGTGTAAATTTGCTATGTTATGCGTTTGTAAGACTAAGATAACAAATTGGGTGTTGCATACTTTTAATTTTAGCACAAATAGTCAAATACTTTTTTAAAAGTATTTGAGTAATAATTAAATAATTAAACCAAACATTAATTTTTCTGGTATTCTATAAATAAATTTATATCTTCAATATATTTTTAAGATTATATATTACACAAATACTTTTAAAAGTATTTTTTATGAAACTTGCTCACAACAACATTTCCCTTTTACTTGTATAACAACAATTTTTCAGCAATTAGGTTAAATTTATAGTAATTCAATTGTAATCTAGCATTGTTTATATATGCATGTATTGAAAAGTTAGTATCAATATGGGTATATAAAATTTTCTTTTTTGCTGTTTTGGTATTACATAGTATAAATTCAGTTTTAACCAGGGATCGTAAGTTCATGCACTAAAAAATGCATAAATAACCATGTATTTATTTTCTAAAAATTGGCAAATATGCATTGAAATATGCCTTAAAAAGTTTAAAAAAATGCAGTTATATACACTTGATATTTAAAATTAGTCACTTGAAAAATGCTGACTTAAAAAAAATCATAATTTTTTTTAAAATATAACAAAATTATCCATTCATTTTTTTAAATAATATATTATTTTTGTTACAATAAAAAAAAAAAAAATTATAAACGATTGCGTTTTTTTCGCCAATGTTGATCCTTTCATAGTATTTCCATATAGAATTGCATGTTGATATATTAATGTGAATAGAAATATCAAAATCGTTTAAAATGCCCGATAAAATAGAAATAGGCCAAATTGGCAAAAAACCTCTAAATATGCAAAAATAAGACTTCACATATTTAACCATGGGTACATTGAAATGAACTTCAATATCATCTAATATTAAATACAACTTAGAAAGATTGATATTCAAATGCATAAACTCTTGAGCCCTGGTTTTAACTCATAATTTTAACTAGTTGTTTTACTGGATCATCAAGTATATTTTTTCTAATGCTCAGATATATATATTATTATTACTATTATTATTTTTCTGTAAATTTAAAATAACATCCTCACCAAAAAAACTAAGGTGTTCCAGAGCTCTTATTTTTTTTTTTTTTAAATCATCTAAACCATTTAGATACCTATTTCTTGACCTCTAGTATTTGTGTACAGGGCCGGATTGGTTAGGCGAGCTACCGAAAAAATCTCGGTGGGCCGCTTAAAGTTAGGGCCGGTAGTGTCAGAGTGTGGGTGAAAATAAATACATGTTAGGATAAGTAAATAAGTTYGTAACRATTTTAGACGTAATAAACCAATAAAAAATAATAGAGACCCAAATTTTGGGCCAGTGAATATGTAAATGGGCCGCTTAGAAGTGAAAATCTCGATGGGCTGATATATACCAATCCGGCCCTGTTTGTGTACCCTATTACAGTGTTTCCCAACCAACGGGTCATAAACATTTTTTTTGGCGACCCATAAATAAATATATGAAAATAAATTTATCAGTTAAGGGGATTTTCTGTCTTTGTCTAACACACATGGGACATACAATAAGCCTGACAAAAATTAAGGTACTTCTAGTTGTTCGATTTAAAATATGTAAAGATGTGTTAATTGATATACAAGTTTACTTTGCATCGGTCAAAGCACTTTTTCAATTGTAGCAATATTTTGATAAGAATAAATATTTTTAATTTTATAAATTTGTCAATTTTTTTTATTAAATATATTAAAAATATTAAAAATATGCTTTGACCAAAGCAAAGTAAATTTGTATACCAATTCAAAAGTCTTTACATCTTYTAAATCGAGCAACTAGAAGTACTTTAAATTTTATCAGGCATATTGTATGTTTCACGTGTGTTAGACAAAGACAGAAAATCACGCTTCCAATCCCCTTAATTTATAAATGCCTAAGTCATTTTTATTTGATTTCCTCTATGTATAATAATATTGTGAAGTCTCATTAGTATTTTAGATCATACTAATATAGAACATAGATTTTTCAATATATATCAATATTTTTTTATAACTAAATTATTTTACCTACATATTTTGTTTTAAAATTATCTTTATATTACACTGAATTATGGATTTATTAGTCAGTACCTATTGTATTATATTGAAATTAAATGATAAAATTTCTTTTAATAAAAAAGATTATTAATACTATATAAAATCACATTTTTTTTCTTTGGTTTGGGTGGGGGTGATTCTCTTAATCAACAAGCAGTAAAATTGTGGGTTGCCATTACAAAACGGCTGGGAAACACATCCCTATTATACAAATACATCACAGTTTAATAGTATTATTGATTTAGTAGATGAGTAATATTAATATCACTGGGATGGCAGGGGAGCCAACAAAAACTATTTATTCTTTACCTTAGATAATGTAATATATTATATATAATTTAAATGATGTAATGTAATTTAAAGCAAATGAGGGGGATAGGGGACAATGCCTTCTCTCTGCAGGCAACCTTGAATTTTCCAAAGCAAACTTTGTTATGGAAAAATACAAGGTGTAACAGATAGAAGGACTTCTGTTTAAATCAATAATTTTTAATTTTTTTATTCATTAATTTCAATGTATAATACATTTTTTTAATATTTTTTTTCTAGTACTGAAAATAAAAAAATTTAATTTAATAAAATAATTGTTGGATAAATTCAAAATAGCCTATTTGTGAATCTAATTATAAGACCAATTTTTTGTGGCAAAAAGTTTTTTGAGAATTTGCTGATATGAGTATATTTCTTAAATTATTTACTTATATAATATTAACAATTTTTGTAATACAATGAATTAGCATAGTTTTTCTAGTCAGGTCTTTCTATCACACTCTGTATATATATTAGATAATCTATTTATTTCTAATGCTCTCTGTATAACTTAAGAATTTCCATAATATTTGGGAATAAATATTTGAAAGTAACTTATTATAATATAATCTATCTTATATCTATATAATGGTGTTCCCAAAAACCAAAGACTATTATAGTAGCTGATCATAAATAAATAATAATATATATATTTTTTAAATCATAATAATGTACAGAAATAAAGTAAAGTGTTAAAAATCATAGAATTAAAAAAAAATAATTAGTTTTATATTTTGGTGCAATTTTTTTTAGTCAATCTGAGCACAGTGTTAAAGTGTCGCAAGAAGCTAACAGTTCTGAACAATCAACTGATGAATATAGTCCTTCAGAACGACCTAAACGTGTGACTAAACCATCATTAAAACTCAGTGAGAGTGGGGAATCAAGTGATTACAGTTCACGAGTCACAAAAAATACGTAAGATTTTTAATTATATTATTGTATTGAACTAAAACATATTTTTTCAACTTTATTAAAATTTAAAATTTCTTATACATTTTTACAAATTAGAAAGTGGAAAAGTGATAGCTCAAATTATGATTCTGAAACCGATAAAGAAGAAATACCTCGTAGTAAATCATTAGCTGCATTACGACGTCAAAAGCAACCTATAAGGCGGCGTCCTGCAACCAAACAAAATTCACGCTGTAAAAAAAAAAATAACAGTTTTAGTGCTGATAACAGTGATGATGAAGATACTAGTAAATCTAGGTACTTAAAAAATATTACATTATATTTTATGATTTTAATTTAAAAAACATTTTATATAATTTTTAAAGAAATGCACGTCGAAGACCCGTGGCAGTTAGTTATAAAGAAGAAAGTGAAAAAAGTGATAGTGATGATTATTTGGAAAAAGAGGTTGAAGAAAAAGAAGAACCACCTGATACTTCTGAAACAATTGAAAAAGTTTTGGCTCGAAGACAAGGGAAAAAAGGTGCTACAGGAGATGCAACAACTATTTATGCAGTTGAGGAGAAAGGAGATCCTAATATCGAGTGTGATCTCAGTGAAAAAGAGACTCAGTTTCTGATAAAATGGAAGGGCTGGTCAAATATTCATAATACTTGGGAGTCTATGAACTCACTTTTGGCCCAAAAAGTTAAAGGGCTTAAGAAAATTGATAACTTTGTGAAACGTGAAGATTCTATTAGTGCATGGCGTGATCAAATGACACCTGAAGATTCTGAATATTATGAATGTCAACTTGAACTTCAGCAAGATTTATTAAAAAGCTACAATATTGTTGAAAGAATAATAGGTATTAATTTTATTACTATATAGTATGTTACAGATATAATGATTTATATGATATTAGAGAGCTATCTAAAATATCTATTGAATATTAATGTATTATAAAATTTTTTCGACAAATTTKAAATTATTGAAAGTAAACAAATAGTATTCACATAAATTTTGTTAATAAATATACAATATTAATTTAAGAGAGTAAGTTGGTATTTTCTGAGTAAACTATATAGTAATATAGTTTTTTAGTTTTAATTATTTTAATATTTATTTAAATTTTGTATTGATATATATACATTTATAGGAGAATCTAAAAATCCAGCACAAAAAGAGTATTATGTAAAATGGCAATCTTTGCCTTATAGTGATGCAACATGGGAAGTAGCATCATTAATTGAACGTAAGTGGCCTCAAAAAATAAAAGAATTCAGAGATCGCGAGGGTTCAAAAAGAACACCTTCAAAAGCATGTAGAGCTTTAAAATATCGTCCAAAATTTGTTCAACTCACTGAAGAACCTGAATATTTTGGTGGTTATGATGAGGTTTGTTTATTGATATAACAATTTTAAAGTAAATAGTTGTGTATAATTGTTTATAAATTAATTATTTAGAAACTGATACTTCGAGATTACCAATTACATGGTGTGAATTGGCTTATTCATTCATGGTGTAAAGACAATTCTGTAATTCTTGCTGATGAGATGGGTCTCGGAAAAACTATACAAACTATCTGTTTTTTGTATTATTTATTTCACAATTACCAAATGCATGGTCCATTCCTAGTTGTTGTTCCTTTATCTACTATGCCCTCATGGCAAAGAGAGTTCAGTTTATGGGCTCCTGACATAAACATTGTAACATATATTGGAGATGTTGAATCTCGTAATATAGTGAGTAGTTTATAAATTTATTTCTTATATATAAGTATGTTATATAAATAACATTGAAAAAAAAATATATTAAATTAAGTTTGTATCAACTTCCCATTTATTTGTACTTATTTATCTATTTTACATATCTTATATATCATTTTATTTTGTTTACAGATACGTGAAACAGAGTGGTGTTTTGAAAGTTCTAAAAGATTAAAATTTAATGCTATTCTTACCACATATGAAATTGTCCTTAAAGATAGTATGCTATTAAACAGTCTTAGTTGGGCTGTCTTAATGGTTGATGAAGCACATCGCTTAAAAAATGATGATTCTCTTTTGTATAAAGCTCTTCAAGGTTTTGACACTAATCAGAGGTTACTTATAACTGGAACTCCTTTGCAAAACAGTTTGAAAGAACTATGGGCATTGTTGCACTTCATTATGCCTGGAAAGTAAGTGGTTTTCTCAATTTTTTTTTTAAAATTGTTTTATGCATTAATTTATTAAATAGATTTGATAACTGGGAAGAGTTTGAGCATATGCATGATAATGCAGCTAGTAAAGGTTATACAAAACTTCATAGACAACTTGAACCATACATTTTACGCCGTGTTAAAAAGGATGTAGAAAAGTCACTACCAGCCAAAGTATGATATCAAGAGTTAATAATTGTAAAATATTTATAAAAATGTCACATATTTTTACCCTGAGTAATGATACTTGGAAGTGTTAAATTTATATTTTTTTGCTTAATAGGTTGAACAAATTTTAAGGGTAGAAATGACTCCTGTACAAAGAAAATATTACAAATGGATTTTGACCAAAAATTATAATGCTTTAAGAAAAGGATCTAAGGGATCATCAACAACGTTCTTAAATATTATGATAGAATTAAAAAAGTGTTGTAATCATGCTCTGTTGACCAAACCCCAAGAGAATGAAAACACAGCTGATGACAATCTTCAGGTGATTATAATTTACTTAAATTCAACTCAAAAATAATTTACAAATATTTGCATTCTTTTTAGGGTTTATTACGAGGCTCTGGAAAACTTATGCTACTTGATAAGTTATTAGTACGTCTGAAAGAAACTGGCCACCGAGTATTGATTTTTTCACAGATGGTTCGCATGCTAGATATTCTTGCTGAATATTTAAGTTATCGACATTTACCATTCCAAAGACTTGATGGTAGCATTAAAGGTGATATAAGAAGACAAGCATTAGAGCATTTTAATGCTGAGGGATCTCAAGATTTTTGTTTTCTATTATCAACTCGAGCTGGTGGACTTGGTATTAATTTAGCCACAGCAGATACAGTTATTATATTTGATTCGGACTGGAATCCTCAAAATGATTTACAAGCCCAGGCACGTGCTCATAGGATTGGACAGAAGAATCAAGTTAATATTTATCGACTGGTTACAAAAGGATCAGTTGAAGAAGACATTGTAGAAAGAGCAAAGCAGAAAATGGTTCTGGATCATTTGGTAATTCAACGAATGGATACTACTGGTCGTACTGTTTTAGACAAAAAAGCAAAAAATGCATCAATTCCTTTTAACAAAGATGAGCTTACAGCTATATTAAAATTTGGGGCTGAAGAATTATTTAAAGATGACCCTGGAGCTGATGAAGAACCTATAGTGAGATATCAATTCAAATTTGAAATATTTATAAATATGTATTTGTTAATATATTAAATACTTAAATAATTTTTTTTAGTGTGACATTGATGATATTTTGAGAAGAGCTGAAACTCGAGATGAAGCTCCGACAACTGTGGGTGATGAACTTTTATCTGCCTTTAAAGTGGCTAGTTTTACTTTTGACGAAGAAAAAGATATTGCTGATAAGTCACCTAGTGCTCAAAATGAACAAGAAAATAAAGAATGGGTATGCATAATTTTATAGATAATCATTTGAGTTCATAATTAAGTTTTTGTTTTGATTATTTAAGGATGAAATAATACCTGAAACACTAAGAAAAAAAGTTGAAGATGAAGAAAAAGCAAAAGAAATGGAAGATCTTTATTTACCTCCTAGAAGTAGAAAAACGTTACAAAAAGTGAATCAAGGAGAAGGAAAAAGTGAAAAATCAAAGAAAGACGAATCTGATGATTCTAGCTATGATGGCAGTGATGAAGATCAACCAAGAAAACGTGGAAGACCACGTGTTGGCACTAAAGAAATTGTAAAAGGTTTCACCGATGCAGAAGTATATAAATTATTATATTACATTATTGTTTTGTTTTTTCCAAAAATAATTAGTTATTTATTCAATTTCATTTTTCAGATTCGAAAATTTATTAAGAGTTGTAAACGTTTTCCTAATCCTATGAAACGTATTGATGCTGTAGCTGGTGATGCAGATCTTCAAGAGAAGCCTAAATCAGAGTTAAAAAAATTAGTTCAAATGTTATATGACCGTTGTAATGAAGCATGTAATAGTGAGCACACTGAAAAAGAATCTGATGCTACTAATGAAGATGGTGTTAAAAAAAGAAATAGGGGACCTTCAATAAAACTTGGTGGTGTGGCAGTTAATGCTAAAAGTGTGTTAGCTTGTAGTGAAGAATTGGATGTTTTGGATGATATAATACCATTAGATGAAGAGGAAAGATCTAAGTTCACTTTAGATTTGAAACGTGTCAAATCAGCAAATTTTGATTTTGATTGGGATATAACTGATGATTCAAAATTGTTAATAGGAATTTATCTATATGGTTTAGGTTCATGGGAAGCAATTAAAATTGATACTGCATTAGGCCTCAGTGACAAAATACTATCTAATGAAGATAAGAAACCTCAAGCTAAACACTTATTAGCTCGTGCTGAATATCTACTGAAGATGTTGAAAAAAAATCAAGTAGTAGTTAAAGGTGAGCCAAAACCTAAGAAAGTACGTAAGGTAAAAGAAGGAAAATCTAGAGAAATAATTGATGACGATAGTACTGACAATGAAAATGGAAATAAAAAGAAAAATGATACTGCTACTAATCAGGAAGAAAAATTAAAAACAAAAAAAGATTTGATCAATGCAAAATCTGGTCTAAATAGTTCACCAAAAAAAGAAAAAAAACGTAAAGTTGTTGCTAAAACAGGTCCAATGCATTTTACTGCTAATAGTGAACCTAAGGCTGTTAATGTGGATGATATTGTTGAGTTGCCAAAAGAAAAGTTTTTAGAGGTGAATATATTTTTTATTGATTTGTATATGTTATATATTAATATTACATGTAACATGTATTTACAGGATGTAGCACACATTGTTTTCTTTATCTTATTCACACATAACTTATTAAAAAAATTTTTTTTTATTCTTGAGTAATTTTAGAGTAAAATCAACCATTACAAAAATATAAAAGAAAGGGTGGAGTGTCMGAGCTAAGGCGTCGGTTGCGACGCACACCGTCGCCGGTTTGAATCCCGGTCACGGGCGGCATTCGCTCTTTGGGCATTTTGCGGTGTCTGGAGAGAGAAGCCGCCGCCTCCCAACCGGGCACGACAGAAACCTACTGGTGCCCATTCAAAATTCTGCCAAAAACCCACGTGTTAAAACCTACAGTACCTTCCCCTACAGTTCCCCAGGCTAATGACCTCAGTTGTCGAAGCCTTAACCCTAAAAAAAAAAATATATATATATATAAAATAATATTTTTAAAGATATGATTATTAATAATTTATCCATACTATCAAATTTTTTTTATATATTGTATCATGGTTTTTTTCTAATTTCTAATTAATCTTAAAATTGTTATTGTAAAAACTTTTTTTTCCATTCCTAAAACAACTACTAGTTGCTTTGAAATATGTGTTTTGAATATTATTATTAATATTGTATTGAATTAAAATAATTTTAATTAATAATATGAGTAAACTATTATTTACCTATTTTTTTAACAGTGTAAAGAAAAAATGAGGCCAGTGAAGAAAGTATTAAAAGCTTTAGATGATCCAGAAGAAAAGAAAAATGAATTACGTTATGTAAATCATATGCAGGAATGTTTAATAGAAATTGGATCCCACATTGGTAAATGTTTAGAAGAATTTAAGGACCCAGATAAAATAAGAGAATGGAGAAGGTTCAGTATATTTATTTTAACAATTAATAATTATTTAGAGATTAATATTCAATGCCAATCATTAAATTTTTACAGCAATTTGTGGTTTTTCGTCTCCAAGTTTACTGAATTTGACTCTAAGAAACTACTTAAAATTTATCGGCGAGGATTACATACAACAGAAAAACTTGAAAAAGATAACAAAATAAAAGATAGAAATAAAAACAAAGATAAAATTAGGGATAAATCTAAAGAAGATAAAAAACTTCTAAAAAATGTAAGTTTTTACTATAAATTGATAAATTATAAATTTATATTAATAATAATTTATACTTCATTTTGAATAAATTGACAATTATTGTTAAAAATAAATATTGATATTTAGCAGATGGAATCTGAAGATTCATTAAAACGAAAACGTGATAGTGATGATATAGAAAAATCAAACAAAAAAAAGATGAGCTCAAACAATAATTCAGGTGGTTTATTAACTACTCCAACTTCTGTTCTAACTACACCTCCAAGTTCTAGTAATTCCTCCAATGCTACAAGGTCATATGATCAAAGCAGTAATCGATATGATACAAATTATAATCATCATAGAAATAGGAGTACACCCTATTCTAGGAATGATAATCGAAATGATACACGGAGTGATGCTCGAAGTGATAATAGAAGGTTAATTTATTTTCATTAAATAATATTAATTTTTTTCTGTTTTTTTTTTTTTTTACATGTGTATTGTATATATTATATTATTAGGTTTTCATCTAGTCGTGACTCTAACACCAGGCGTGAAAGGTATGACAATAGTTATCGTAGTCGTCCAGCATTCAGGGAAAGAGAAAGGGATATTGATTCTGATATGCGAATGTATGATAAAATTAGGTTTGTACAGCCTAAATATAGTTTATTATCCATGATGGACATAAGTTATCATCAAAATAATTTTTTTTTCTTTTGTAGGTATCAACAACAGGCTTATGCTGCATACGGACAAGCTGCTGCAGCTAGTTTTTATGCTCCCGAATTGTATAGTAGCCGCTCAAGTTCTGCATCATATATGAGCTTACCTCAATATAGTGTTTCTTCTGATTGGCATCCTCCTGTATCAGAATATAGGAGAGATTATGAACGCAGACCTCGAAACAATTCCTAGCTATGTTTTGTTTTCTATTATATAAGTATTAAAATATTTAAAACTATACTTATCACCTTGAATTTAAAAAAAAATGCGTCTATATAATAACTATTGTTGAAATGTTTATTGACCATTTAAATTAATTTTTTAATTTGTCTTGTACCAAAATATGTTATTAATTCTTATTATTAGGACTTGATTGCTGAACACTAATTGTATATAATTTATTTTTATACATAACATTATATAAATATTTTTAGTAAAATTCTGATGTATTATCATGTAAATAGATATAATTGTTTCATGAATGTTCATTTTTAATGTGTATTTTCTTTGAATTTCTCTTCTATGCTGTATTTCTGTACAGATAAAAATGTAAAATATTGTTGTTTATTTTAGTAAGTGGTCATAGTTGTCTAAACATTTTTATTTTCATTTCCCTCCTATTTCTTTATTATTATTATTGTTATTATTATTTGTTTTTGTGTGTAGAACTTAAATGATAATAACTATGTGATATTAAAAAAATATTCATGTTGATATTTAAATCATGTATAATGATGAATTTAATTTGGATTTTCAAAAATAAAACTATTTTTAATGAAATGTAAAATATTAGTTAATTGTAAAATTCCGTAACAATAATTGCCTTGGGAATATACAATTTTATATATTTAATGGAACTATGGATTTTCATTCAACTTAATTAAAATTGTAATCAAGAAAAAAAAACTGAAAAACCAATAGAGGCTTGAATAGATTAAAATGAATTGCAAATAATTATCTTAATGTGAAATGTCCCAAAAATAGATTGCTACTATCAGCTTTTTGGCTGCATTCATTTCTACTCTAATTTTGTATAGTATCAAAAATTTATTTGAGAAGACTCAAAATCTATACAGTCAAACAATTTAAAATTTTTTTCTTTTCATTATTACTTATCTTAATACCTATTTATTAAACTGATAGGTTAAAATGTTATTTATATTATGTTTTATTTGTTTTTTTCTATCAAATACTGCATTATTTATGTTAGTCAGTCATAATTTACAATAATATTATACTTATGTAGGTGTTATTGTATGATGTAAAATTTCTAAACAMATATTTTTATATAATATAAGTTAAATTTATGTTCATAAAAAATAAAATATGTTGACGAATCTGGTTATAGGTATAAATGTATACATTATATTTATATTTACTCAATTCATTTTCCATATCAAACTTATAAACTATTATTCGTGCTTTAAATTAAATAGCATTAAATAATTAATATCAAGAATACCATGGCATGTTATAGTTGCCATGTCTGTATAACCCATCAGGATGAAATATGAAAGACTGACCACCCTACATGGTCCCTATGCTATATGGATTTATATCAATAGTGGCTAATATGGCAATACTTGAATACCTCATGTAATTTTTGGCTGAGACGTACCTGTACCCAATTAATGGTGATGCCAAAAACTTTTTATTCATAAGTACACAAAGAAACTAAAAATAACAATATAACAATTACTGAATTACATTATATATATAAATAAAATTAGAAGTATTTCTTTATTACATTTTATAAATATACTTACTCTAATATTACCTGACTTAACCCAGGTTATTTATCTTATTATTGTTAAAATATATTGGTAGTACCTACAATAATAATGCAATTTAAAATGGTTAGTTTTATAATTTCTCACTTCTTAATTCTAGAATCATTTTCTTTCGCATTAAAAAAAAAAAAATTGTGACATGAATGAAGGTAGGTACAAGGTACAACGCTAATATGTATAATATTATTTTTTATGAAGGAAAAGGAAAATATACATAATAATAATATGTGTGCTTAGGATTGATTTTTTTTAAAGTTATCCGTTAGAGTAGGTAAAAAAAAACTGTTTAAAACTTTTGCCTTCTTCGTTTAAAAGTTAAAACGATGACGCTAACGTTAACTCATAAATATTGTTAGTATTAGCATTGAGTATAGATAGATATACTAGATATACTCAATGGTATTAGTATCTATTCATCTGTATAGGTTTACTTAAAAAATATTYCCAGAATTAAAAAAAGCAAAATATGATTGCTATTTGAAAAAGTTGTCATTGTAATCGTGTTCATACGTATTTTATTTTAAGAGTTTTCGTAATGTGAGAATTTTTTTGTGTTGGGAGGGGTGAACTCCTAAACACTCCAGGAACGGCCTTGGGGATAAGTGATCACTTAAGACTGGCTTCCCGAGCAATTGCATCTTTTTATGACTTGTTCTATATTCTAGCTACAAGTCCAAATTAAAGGATGTAGATTAATTTAAAGAAAGTTTTATGTTGCACAAAATTGCGCGTTTTGGGTTTTTTTATTTATAAGAAATTTACAATCTGTGTATAAAAATGAATTAAATACTAAATTGTACTAGTACATACTTTTGAACAAATATTTTTGTATTATTTTTATCATTGCTAGGTATATCATGACATCATGTTATTTACTTGTTATAATAATATGAAGTACCTATTGGACTTTTATATAATATAATTATCAATTATACAAAATATACATATTATGCATAGGCCATAGGTATACAATATGACGTAATTAAGATAATGATTACTACGATGATAGTCGATAGATTTTCGATTACATACAGTACTATTGTCTATCCACAGAAACCAGAAATTTTGATCAAATATTGTGAAGTCAGTTATATGCATCTTGTCGGTTTATTATTATATAATTTAAATCCAATTAATTTTTTTTAAATTTTATATTTAAATATAATATATTATGTATTGTTAGGCTCGGGCCACACGATGCGTTTTTTCCGCAGACATGGAATGCGGGCGATTCCGCATGCGGTAGGGTTAAAAATGAAAACACATTGCTACAAACACAACCGTCCACACGACGCGGCCACGGCATGCCCAAACATTTCCGCGACCTGCCGCAACAAGCTGCGGAAATGTCGTATTGCCGAAACCGGACACTTATGAAAATAACATTATTTAAGCCGTCCTGCACACGGTCCGGTATTCCGTATGCGGTACTGATATATTTTATTTATATTGTATTGGGGAATAGTACTAAAAAAATTTTAAAAATTTTTTATTATGAAAAAATTATTATTGAAATTGAGTCGATGCCATGTTTATGGCATTGTTGGGTCAAAGGAATATAGTGACAAAAATTTAAGGGCCATGTCTTGGAATTCTGTCGCTGAAGCCACCAAAATGCCGCTACATAAAAACGGTTTAAATGCTGAAGTTTTTCCAATAGCCAGTACCTCGGTAGTATGTCCCAGTAGATTAGGCGTTAGGCATTTATTTTATTTATTGATATYGATWAAAGTGTTTTTRAAAAACTGTGGTCTCTGGATATCGCTTAGTACCGTTAATCACTCCGCATCTTATATCTACGTGTACATCATATTATTAATTAATTATTATTAATAATAAAATTGTTAGTTGTAGGACTAGCTAAGTTATTGCGGTGGCTCATTTAAATTCAACATAGCCACCTGAGATCTTTTGCATTTTTTTCAAATTTTATTTTATTATTTTTTGTTATATTATTACTTAGTTCTTTTTTTAGTGAAGGTTGCTCCACCATCACTGAAAACCAATTAGAGCTATATGCCTTTAGGTATTTGGATATCCCACAACGACGACAAATGATAATTGATAGGTACCTAACCATTTAC